AAAAAAAAAAAAAAAAAAAAAAATCTGAGCACTGTGGAAACTTTGTTTTTGATAAGCCATTACTTAATAAATAAAGTTTTTAGAAAAGTACTACTATTCTTAGCATTAGGTTAAGAAGGTACCTTCCATTCATTTCCATATGTGTTGTATACAATAAAAGTAAAAATTTCTATTCTACAAATTGGCATCTTTTCATGTTGGTTGTAGATAGTTATTGGCAAAGATCACTAACAGGCAAAAAACCAGGATTCTCACATTTCTGATTAAAATAACAATTTTATGAATGACAATTCTTTTTTTAAAAAAAGTTCTTATTTTTAATTTAATTTGTATAGTTAGGTGCATGGAAGTGCTGGATTCCCCTGGAGCTGGAGCTACAGGTTGATGGGCCGACATGTATGCTACTGGAAACCTTGAGAGCCCAAATTGGGTTTCCCCGAAGAGCAGATGGTTCTTAACCTCTGAGCCATCTCTACAGCCCCATTAATGACAAATCTTATGTACAATTTTAAAGATAAAACTTACATTCAATTCATGCTTTCTTAGAATAAACCATTTCCTATCATCAGACCTATTTTAGAGTTTGACCATTTGCCTGATTTAATGAAAACATGATTTCAGATGCAGTAGGTGTAGTGGCAGTGTAGAAAGGCCTAAAATATATGGGAATATAAGCTTATGAATAACAAATCTATCAGGACCTGTAACACACTGCCTAACACAAATATACGTTAGGTCAGATGTATTCTTTTTTCCTTGGAAAAGTATTCTCATTCTGCAGCAGGTAATGAAACTACAGGATACTTTTCAGCTCTGGAATTCTGGTCTATTGCAGCCCTTAAGAACCATTACTACTGCTAAAGCCAGAGTAACAGGTATTTGAAAATAAGAAATCAGTTAACAGTAAATTAGAATGGTGGTGAGATATATAGTCCAAACCAAAGTTAAAATAAACTTGGAACTGAAAGCAAAGCCTTTGTAAAGGTCTCCTTATGCTATTCACTATCAGTGTGTGGCCTTCTGAGGACACAGAAGCTTCACCTGCAAAGAGCAGCTATTCGAGCAGGACCTCTAATATAAAAACTATGGAAGATGAACAAAAAGGAGATGAGCTGTGATTTTTCTAACAATATAGGAACTGAACCTCATAAGGAAAGACAAAGCCTTAAAGGTATATACAATATGCAATTAGTCAATATGGATGTTTTTATAGTAACACATCTTCAGAGTAGTAATTCACAAAGGATCTTACAGGATCTGCTGTTGTTAGGGGTCTATAATCCAAGCTTCCTCTGAAGTCTCTGATCATACACATAATTTCGTAATTTGGATTTGTAGCATCAACATCCTATTAGAAAACAAGATTTGGCACTTATTATAATTACACTGTATGTGTTGCATATAGTTTGAAAGTTGCAGTTCAGATACTGTCATTTGTTAACCAAACTCAAACTAAAACTAAACTATAATATGATTTCCAAGTTCAGGTTAGTATGTTCAGGATCACTTTCACATAAATAACACAATTCTGCTCATCTCCATGTCCTGTGCACTTCAAAGTTTCCTCATTAAAACTACCCTTTAACTACTTAGAAAATCACCTATAGTACATTTACTTATGTCAGAAATGTAGCAAAGGGAACAGCACTCTAGAACACTGGCAAGAAACTCTAGGAAGGTTGAAACTGGGAAATGCATTCCACATCCCAACTCCCAGAACTACTTCATCTAATGTTTCAATACTAAATACCTCAATTTTGCACAAGTCACCATGAGGGAGCTGTACCTGCAGTCACACTCATAAGGAGGCTCCTTCTTTACCCACCCTGTCCATCACTGCTGCTCTTCCCAAAGCACTGCTATTTATTTTTTCTCTGTCCATTCCAGTTCTAGTCTCTAAACATTAAAGAATGCTTTGAAAAGTTTTGTCTGCAGGTGTAAGCATGCTGTTTGGTTACATACACATGCCCTATTTTTAAACATAAATATAGTCTTGAAAATAAATATAAATTCATCGACATTCATTTCCCTCTCCTTGTTAACTCTAAGATAACCAAGATGTTTAAAAAAAAAAAAAAAAAAGCAATACAACAGAACTTAAAACACAAATAAACATAATTTGTTTGCTTATTTTTTGGAGTCAGGTTTTCATGTGGTCCAAGCTGACCTTGAACTCTTACCCTTCTGCCTCTACCTCCTAGGTGCTGATAAGTATACCACTACAAGCAGCTGAAAACCAACATGTTTAAAAAATTTAAAAAAAAAATTCAAGGTATTGAATTCTGACTGTAATTTATTTCAAATTCTATACTGACAAGGTTTTATTTAAATTATGACTAGCAATGGTCAATAACCTCCCTACAACAAATAATAAATCACTAATACTCAAGTCAGATTTTTTCATTCACATTCAGACTACACTGAACAGAGACTTTAAAACTGTCAATGAAATTTATCTTCTATTCATCTTTAGAAAAGATCTCCAACTTGTCAGCTAGGCAGCAGAATGTGAAGCAAGCCTCTAGACCTCACTGGGACACGTGAGCATCATGAAGTACCGCCGGAGGACACCAGGTGGCGTGGCTGCCAAGCCTGAGTAACTGTAGTCTGTGTATTCTTTCTTTTTCCCTGGAGTCGGGGTCTCAAGTAGTCCAAACTGGTTTCAAACTTGCTATGTAGCTGGAAATTCCTTCAACTTATTTTAAAATCAACGATTTTCACTGATACAATCCACCCTTTTCTCAGAAAAAAAAATGAGTTTATGTTACAAACCTGGGCTCTCTTTTCTCTAAGTTCTTGCTGTTGCAATCTCCTTTTTTCTCGTTTTTCTTGCAATTTTTCTACTTCTTTAACACAATTCGATTTCCTACGTGCTAAAAGGGAAAGGATGAGCTGCAGAAGCACAGTTTCCTTTTTTACAGAATTACACTGAACATACAGGAATTGTATGACTAATTCAGCGCACACATACACAAGTGCACAGTAATGAAGCATGCCGATTATACCTAGGTGAACTTGACTTATGAGCTGCTTTAACAACAGTAGGAACAGGACATTATACAGATGAGTCAAGCGAAATGACTCAGACACACTGATACATGTCATCTCTTGGTTTAGAATCACAGGTCTTTGAATTGAAAGGATCAAGGTGTAACTTTTTTCTCAAACATTAAAAAAAAATCTAGCCAGAATTAAAGCAATTGAACCATTGTTTGTAACCTCACACAAAATGTTATTCTCCAATATATATATATATATATATATCCAAAAGTACTAAATACAAATTAAAATTTGTTGGCAAAATGAAATATCTAGTCAAGTTTGTCTTAGATTGCTTACTACTTAGGAACTTGTAATGATGACCAAGAGAGACTACATGTATGCCTAAAATGACTGAATCCTTGATACGTTATTTACATACAAGGAGGTCCAAATTCCTTTTTTGCAGCTTGAACTGGAGATATATCTGAAACACTACCATTCTGTTGTGCAGAAGATGACTGTTCCGGAAGCTGACTAGGCCGTGCGCGTGCTGAACCAACCACTACAAAACAAGTTTAATTCAGAACAGTATTAAAAGCTAACCATGGTAAAAGAGAAAGACATACCAATGTCACATACATAAATATGCCAGGCACAATGGCTCTTACCTATAATCTCAATACTTGATAGGATGAGGCAGGATGATGAATACATGTTTGAGGCAAGCCCGTGTAACAATGAGACCCTACTCAAAAAAGTCAATAACTGCTGAGCAGTGGTGGCACACGCCTTTAATTCCAGTACTCAGGAGGCAAAGGCAGGTGAATCTCTGTGAGTTCAAGGCCAGCCTGGTCTACAGTTAGTTTCAGGAGAGCAAGGCTGTTTCACAGAGAAACCCCGTCTTCAAAACAAAACAAAAAAAAAATCTATAAAAATCTGTCAAACTTTCCTATAAATGGTGTATAAACTACTAAAAGTGATCAGTTCTATTCAGTAAATTGACATGACTAAAAGACAATTCAAAGTAATAGTTGCATCAGGAAAGAGGCAGGCAGGCAGATCTGAGTCTGAGGCCTGTATGGATTTTACAGCAAGTTGCAAATAATGGGAAAATTAAATCTTAAAACACAAACAAAAATGTACAGATTTAACCTACAAAACTAGTCACCTAAAAACCATAGCTAAACTGACTTTTAATAATCATTTATTTTTAAAAGATGCACATGAAACCCATGTCTTACAATTCCAGAATGCAAAGACATTTCCCAGATTATATGTGCAATATAAAGGCATTCTCATTTTTTTTTTAAAATGGCCATGATTCAGATACATAGAAAACAAATGGAAAAGTCCTTCCAACCTTCCTTACGGTTCAGTGTAGATGTCATGAAAATGCACAAAGGAACCTACGCACACCAACAGATTTCTGCTGGTGTGGTGGTGCATGTGTGATGCCAGCACTGGAGAGTCTAGGTCAGGAGGTCAAGATCATTTTCAGCTGTCTACCATTTCACATTAAGGCAAACCTGGGCTCCAGAGACCCTGTCTCAAACATGCACGCACCCATGCACAAGGCTCAGAAAACTAAGTTCTCCAGAGACAGAAGGGTGGTAATGAGAGGACTTTCTACTCTCTCCTAATCTCTTCCCTGGCCCATCTTGGACCACATCCACTTACACAGACACACAACTGTACAGCAGTTCTCAGTGCTGAGTAGCAAAGAGAAACTACTTTCGTCCAGTGTCCTGGCTCAGAATGTATGAAACTTGAAGCCAACTATAATTTATGCCCATTCAAATTTCCTTTTGCCAACTCCAAAGTTAACCATTAAAGTTTCTGGAAGCCTCTAAGTCAGAAAATTATGACCAAACCAGTGATAATGGGGCTGGAGAGACGGCCAGAGGACCTGGGTTCAATTCCTAGCAACCACATGGCAGCTCACAACTGCCTGTAATTCCTATTTCAGGGAATCTGACACCTTCACAGACATACATGCAGACAAAAAAAATTAATGTGCACAAAATATAAATAATTAAAAAAATGATAATGAATTCATCCTTGTGGCATCATCAGCCATCTGACTCCTTTCTTGTGTCTCCTTTCTCTAATGTCCTCCGTTTTGAAAACCGAGTGAGATGAATAAAAACTACATGCTTTGTTGAGTTTCCATTCACCACATACATTTTTGAATTTTTTTTGCTTTATTTTATTGAGTCTTGCTTTGTAGCCTGTTGGCCTAGAATTCCCTACAGAGACTAGATAGATTGGCTTCCACTTGGAGAGATCTTCCTGCCTTCTGAGTGCTCAAGTTACAGGCATGCCTCACCATGACAAGCTCACATTTTTTAAACTAAAGAGAAATTATTAATGCTATTGGGATACTAGGAAGTCAGGAATACTAATCTTAAAATCAGCCATGGTTTAAACAGATAACACCAAGGGTAATATTTACTTTTGATATACCACATCAAGGCCATGCTAAATGTCAGTAGGCAAAATTAAGGGGTAACGTTTTACTTCACCTCTATTATCTCTTGGGGGAGGGTCATTCTTAATAGATGCCACAGTCCGTCGGTTCTACAAAAGAAAATATTCATTTTATTTTTTTCTCTCCATTCCTCACATCTATCATTCCCCCAGCTTCTTTTAATTAAATGAAAGCAAACAATAATAACATAAAATTAAATGGAGAAAAACTATAAATAATAAAAAAAATTACTAATTTATCAATAGTCAAGTTCCTGTAGGAGGCATATTTCCAAATCTCACATAGACTCAGGAATGAGAAAGATATTGCTTTAAGGATCTTATTCATTTCAGTTTTACACAAAACTCTAGGAAGCCATTATTTTCTTAATTCTGAGCTCAGGCCAAGTGTAGAAATCTTCACATTTTCAAAGTTCAGTAGTACAATTTTTTCATCATTTTCAGAAACAAACACATCAACACACACACAACAAGAGGGCAGGGAGACAGAGAAAGGAGGGGTGGGGGAAGGGAGAAAATTCTGTAGTTTTGCTTCTCCCAACTATGTCGATCATACATCAAAGCAGACTGGAAGGTCCTTTGATGCTCAGGTTTTCATCACTGTCTACTACAATCAGAGCAGATCTCCGAAAGCTTTTTACTGGTACTGCAATTTCAGATGAGATTGGAAGGAAAGCAAGGCTAAGTAACTACACTATAATGCTATCTTGCCAAAACTGTGTGCAGGTTAAGTATCTATTATCTGAAAAGCCTGAGTCCAGAAATGTTTCATATCTTTTCATGTCTTGGAATATTTGTATATGTGCACTTATGTGTAAAATCAGATGTTCTGGGAATAGGACTCAATTTTAAATGCAAATTCACTTTTATATATACGTTATATATACACATAGCCTGAAGACTGTGTGTGTGTGTGTGTGTGTGTGTGTGTGTGTGTGTGTGTGTGTGTTGTAAAAGCCAGTGGAGGACATCTGGTACCTGCTGTCATGTTCCTTCTTACTCCCTTGAGACAGGGTTACTCACTGAAACGAACTGGGCTGACAGGCAGCAAAGCCTCAACCACCCTTCAGTCTCTACCCTCAACAAAGCTGTGGTTACAGTTGTGTAGAGCATCAGTCACATCTGCTTTTTTTGGTTACATGTATGCTAGTTAGGTAGACTTGAATCTTCATGACTTTGGTTCAAGTGCTCTGACCCAAGGGCCTCAAATCTCTGTGAAGATAATTTTGGTGTTGCTTCATTCTGACTGAAATTCATCACATAAGGTTTCACGTGGAATTTCTCTCCTGCGGTCTGATGTTTGTTCTCAAAAAAAATTGCATTTGGGGGATGGCAATATGGCTCAGTGGGTAAAGTCACTTGCTTCACAAGTCTAACCTGAGTCGACCACACAAAATAGCCAGATGTGGTTGTGTGCTCCTATAATCCCAACACTCCTACAGCAAGACAGGAGCTTGGAGTACATAGTACAGCAGAACAAGAGACCCCAGTTCAACAAGGTGGGGGGTGAGAACCAACTCCTGAAAGCTGTCCTCTGCTCTCCAGCTGAATGGCATGGCATGCACACACCTACATTCACACACAAACCAAGAAAAAAAATTAATAAAAATGTTAAAACCTGGGATTTGGAGCACTTTTGATCTTGGATTGAGGAATTGTAGTAAATTACATCTTTTGATCTAAGGAGGTAATACAGTATTGATTCCTTTATTAAACTGAAATTATCAAAGTAGTATGAAATAAACATGGCCAGTTATCCTAAAAAGGTTTCATTACAGGTTTCAAAGGCTTGGCTACTGCACAGATTAAGGCAACCAACTTCTGCTCCTATTTAAATAGCTACTAAGAGTGAATTATTTAAAAACAAACCCACAGCAAATAATTTAGTTATACTCAATCCTGGCTGTACATTCCAATCAGATTAGGTACTATTTGGACAGTGGTTTTATCTCCCAGAGTAGGGCCCAGAGATCAGTATTTTAAAAAATGGAAAGTAATAGTTAACAACACATCAAGGCTGAGATGTGTGGAGCTTGTTGGTAGGATGCCAAGGCAAAGGAGAAAAACTGGGCCTCATTTCAACATGGGAATGGGAGAGGTAGATAAAACTACGCCAATCTACTAAGGCTTTGAAGATGAATATGGAAATAGTCTGTGTATATTAAGGACCTTTAAGCAGTGACTCTAACAGTGCTTAAGTTATATTAACTGAAATTGATTTATGTTCATATATGTAGTTTAAAAGCAAAATATTTTGAGGATGGTTAAGTCTCTATAACACATGTGCCCATTTATGCATGTTTTCCTTG